TGCAAGGCATCTAAAGTTCAGAGATTTCTATTCTGGATCAAAGTGATGACACTGACTTTGTTTTACTCATATGATGTTATATACACAAAGGGTGATGAGGATGGATCTTAAAATACAGCAGACATTGGGTGTGATATCCACAGCAGGACCAGCCCGCGCTGCTAACGAACACAGGAACGTTTGGGATGAGCTCCTTCTATCGAGCAACAGACAAACACACACACACACACACACACACACACACACACACACACACACACACACACACACACACACACACACACACACACACAGAGGCACAAGATTCTCACCCTGCGGGTTACAGAGCTCAACAGCTGACAAAGTGGGGGAGGATGGACACACACACACACACACACACACGCTGAACTGCATCCATACCGACACACAGGAACGCATTTATGTATGAATGAGGGTGCAAGAGAACACGCACATGCACACGCACACACACGCACACATGCACACACACACATTTCATAGATGGAAGTCGTTTTAGCCTCGACCGCACATTTACAGACCCATGCAGCCACGTGCTCATGTTGGCTTCTAGTGATCACTCAACACACACAGCTCTTAGTATTCGGGCTGTAGATGTGACCTGCCCAGTATTTATTCATTGGGAGACCTTTAGAAACAAGACACAGGATTCTAATTTATAGCCCTGAACTTTACAGCCATGCCAGTCCATCTTTCTCTCTCTCTCTCCCTCTCTCACTCTCTCTCTCTGTTTCTGTTTCTGTCTCTCCCTCTCTCTTGTTTCTCTCATGTTATAATATTTCGCAGACAGGCCGCGCTCCTGCGTTACTGCAGCCTATTACTGTTAGTCGGCCCTCGAGGTCCTGTATGTTTGTTAGATTAAAACTGCCCTCTATTAACGGCTCAGTATCTGATACTAGTTCACTGATGATTCTTTGTTTCACATCTTCAGTTCCTTTAAAAACTCTTGAATTTAATTTACAAAGGCATTAAAGGAGCTATTTGTAAGTTGCTAATTATAATATTATAATAAAGTAATTGCTACATAGCTAACATTAGCAGTTGTTTACTTACCAGTCGAGAAGACACGTTGCCTTAAAATTTAAGTTCATCTTCGTCATTTGAAGGTACAGGGAAGTTTTATAATATTGCCACTTTTATAATAGTGGCATTTTTCCAAATCTGTAACTAAAATATTTTTGTGTTGTACTGTGGAATTACATAAAGCATCAGATGACAAGTTAAAAATCAACACAGTTTATTCAGACTTCCAGGATGGAGGAGGTTTTTTTCTATTACATGCAAGTGAAATCGAGATGGCCACGTAAATAATGCAAACGTCAAGGCATGCAATCAATAATCCACGTGGATGTGGTTGCCATGGCAATCTGTGAACTATGGTGTAAAGGTGAAAACAGAAAAATCCCACAGACATCAACTGTGTGTTCGTGGTCGAGGCTTCGCTTGGAGCTGCGCTTATAATTTTTTAATGGGAGCATAACACATCCCACCACTACTTCACAATAAACACTCCCTCTAAGTTATTTTAAAACTTCTGGTGTTTTTCTCCCCAAAGCAAACGCATTCACTAGTGTGACCGTTTTTTTTTTTGTTTGTTTTTTGTTTGTTTTTTTTACTTTGGAAACAGACATATGGCAAAAAAATAAATAAATCTATCTAATCTATCACAGTGCTGTGACAAATCAATACTGTCACAGTCGTAGCATCACATACACCCTTTATACACTGAGTGTGTGTGTGTGTGTGTGTTTGCATTTTTTGACAGGCTCACGCACACACACACACAGAGAGGGACGCTGCTTCATCGGTCCTCACACTCTTTTCAGCAACACACAGGTCGACAGGCGGCTGCTCTCTCGTCTCTAACTGGTCGATCTGACTAATGACCTGTCAGTCAGCAGCGGCCCAGACCTTTTTCATATTCAGACCTTTTTTTTTCAGTCTGTGACAAAACAATTCACAGCTGTTCAAAACCAAGTGTTTGAACCAGGAAATAGATCTATTTTAATAATATTAATAATAGAGTTTCCTCTACTTTTATGACCATAGGACCTTGATTTTTATGAAACACTGATAACAGTAAAGGTGTTTTTGTGATAACTTGTTATTTAATTACTTTGCATCACTTTAATGAGACAAGTAATAATGAGTCTTAATAAATAATAAGTAGCAATTCATTTCTTTTGCCTGTTTTATTCACAGTGAGTTTTCCAAAAAAAATTAATATTGTATTTTACCTTCAAGTTGCAATATTACGTCTAATCCTGAAGTTGGAAGTGTCTTTTCTTACTTCTCTACCTCAGTCAGTGATTCGTTATTTCACAAAAAGTTTTATTTCAGCTTGTTGTTGTTCACAGTTGAAATAACAAACTTTAATTTGATTTCTTTCATGTTTCTGATTGACTTTTAACATTGACGCAGAGAATAAGCTGAAACTTTATTAACCCTCCTGAGCCCAATGTTGCGTGTCTACCTTGCATTGTAGTTGATCATGTTCCCACTGGCTGAGGGATCTGCCTCTTTGATTCCAAACTCTGACATTTTTAACATCGTCTGCATTTGGGATCAATATTCAGAAATACAAGAAAATACAAAAATGTTAAACACAGCAGCAGATTTTTTTTTTAACACACACACAAACAAACAAACCTCAGTCTGAACTTGATGACTTTTGACCTAGTCAGTGCACAGGAAGCAGACATGCACGGTCAGGCTTTTATCATCACACAACGCAACATCCCCAACAGCGTGTGTGTGTGTGTGTGTGTGTGTGTGTGTGTGTGTGTGTGTGTGTGTGTGTGTGTGTG